TACGTGGTTGTTAGGGAAGTATGCGTATTACGGGGAATTAGGTTTTATTGTAGAACATTGCGTTCCTTGGGAAGGAGAATATGATTTTCATTAAAAGTTTCTTTAAGTTGAAATTTCGAGCAAGTCTCTACATACTTAGGGTTGATTACAAGAATCTGCTTTACGGTTATTTGGCAATTACATGCATTACGAATCGAAGGGCTGATTTTAGAGAGTAGATATGAACGTGTAAGCTTCGGGGAATCTATTCTGAGTCTATTTAATACTACATTTTGTTCCCGATCAATGAGAATATTCTCTGTTACAAAATGTAGCTAACACGTAGCAAAAAATAGAAAAACTTCTACGATTCAATTATTTTAATATTATTCTTTAAACAGGTCTATTTGAAAGTTTGTCATGTGGTCTTAAAGTTTAAAGAGTTATTTTATTTGCATATCTTTTAACCTACATATTCTTCGTTTCTCGTTAATATACAGATGACGGAAACAGAATGCACGATATAATTTACGACTTTTTGCCTTCGAAGCAATGCTTTCTTCCAACAGTGTTCAATTGGAACGCTTACCAAGGAAATGTATGTATATATACGATACGATCCAGCAGACTTATACGGTAATGCATTTACCAAGATATCTCAATCCCTAATTCCAGCCGAACTCACAATCAGTTCTAGCTCAAAGTGGACTTGGTACTAATTGCTAGGATCTTTGGCACATACCCCAAACGTTAAAACGTAGTCGAACGAGCTCATTCGAACATGAACTTACCGATAGATGTTCCTCTTAAATTTACATTGTCTTCTTACAATACCTTTCTCATTCTGACCACTGAATTTGTTTGCTTTTTTCCTACAGATCTTCTAAATGTATATAAACTTTAATTAATTTCAGTTTTAACGTATATATGTATTTTAAGTTTCATGTATGGTAGCAATCCTCCTAAATATATTATTTGCAACATATCAATAATTGTGTACGTTATTTAATTTTTTTCTTCTAATTTCACGAATGCGTATTTCATTTCATAGTGTATACCAGGATATCTGTGTATCGAGGATATTACTTATATTATATTTTTCGTGGTTGTAGTATGTCTTCATTTTTCAATTTATACTGCTACATCTTCTATCAACTATTTTGTTCAAAATATTATACGAAAAATGAAGCATATTAATTTTATTTCCATTCACTTTTGTGATGTAAAAATGACTCAACAGTGCTTCGATTTATCTTTGAGAAAAGGAAACGCAGAACCCTTCTATCTTCGTTTCTATTTTCGTTCACAAATTTCGCAAACGAAGGGATGCAAAATGTTCTTCGAAAATTTATGTTAAGCATCGTTTGAAATTTGATCCAGAATTCTGTCGCGAAATTTCATAGCTTCCTCTTCCCGCGAAGGGTCAACAAAAGAGCGAACGTTTACCTGTCCAGTTTGTTGAGCATTGTTTGGATCTCCGCTTTCCTTGCCCCAGCTGCATTTCACCGTTTGACCATTGATGTCAGTGTTGTGTACTGCCACAATAGCATGTGTTGCTGATTCTTTGGTAGAAAACCTGAAATACAACCAACCACGAATATTGAATTAACTTCCAGCATCTCGATTCCAACGCGAATCTTCTTAATAGTAATATTAATCCTAAATACAATTAGAAAATTGTCAACTATTTCCATATACAACATTCTATTTTGTACCTAGGTTTCCTTTCACGTGTAAATGAGAAATTGCCACAGTAGGTTGCTAATTTCAATTCGCAATCTTCACGCAATTTAATTTCAATTGCATTTTAAATAAACAAAGCATTTAACATTCCGTATTCGTGTGTTCTTCACATCCTTGCCACAAAATCTAAATTTCTTACCGCAATTAAGAAAGCAAGAATTCTATTTACACAATTTTCATTGAAAATTTACCAGAAATGATTCGGTTCCAATTAATAGCCCCCACCAGTGTCTTACGGAAGCCGCACAACGTTCGCTCTCGAAGAAACAAAAACAACCAACCGAACCGTAGATAAACAATTACACAAAAACAGCTGTCCCCCCGTGCTTCCCTCGAAATATATCTACTTCCTAAATGAAAAATTCCTCGGAAATGTGTTTGCTTTTGCCGCATGTTACGGTCACATACAGAGTTTACAAACGCGCGTTCACGTTTGCGGCAGTAGAAAAATATGTAGCGCGATCCGCCGGTATTCCTTCCGCCAGTTACACGGGACCTTATTATCGTAGCTTTAACGAAATGGTCGGCTACTAGTGCTCTCAGCGACTCTTGCAGTTTAATTTATGACAGTTTACCGTGCGCACGAATAAGCACGATAATTGTGAATCCCGCCGAATCTAGATTATACCGTGGATCTGGAGATTCCACGTTAAATCGTAGTTTCACATACATATACATACATATGTATGCATATACATATACATCGCGCTACTTTGAAATTCATACAGTTTGGAGAGCGTTCAAAGTGTATCGAGCACGTGAACGAACACTCTCCTCCTCTTCCACCTCCAACCCTCTCCCTCTCGTGATATTATCCTTTTGCCGATAACAACCGAGTTAACCGCGTTACCCCTATCGACAGACATTACATTGCTCTTTGTCGCGGCTTATTTATTTATTATGCTGTTACGTGAAAATCAAAAGGGTGCACACACACACACCCACATGTACAGGCTGTATAACAGGCGGATCGCATTACTGAAAACGCAGACGTAGCCTTTATTTATCGAGTCCTTCAATTACGGCGAGGTTAAGGTTTGCCATTTGGCATTTACCCAAGATTCAGAGGGTGGTATGTCCTCGTAAATATCGTCTATGTAACCAGCTAGCGGAGGGGGTGCGTTATGCCGCGCGGCCGAACATAAACACGTCGTTTTTAGGAGTATTATAAAGATAATCTTATGTACGGATGCTGGTCTTGCAGGGTTCAGAATACAGTTTCCGCTCGTTAACGAACGAGGATTACGTTTTACGATGGCAACGACTTCGGGGGAACCTTGTGAAAAATATGTGTAGCGATTTTCTTTTTGGGGGTTTTTTTGAACGAAACGCGTAAGGTATTGCGAAGATGGGATTTGTTTGTTGTGGGATTTGTGGTTCAATTCGTGTGCGATGTCATTTGGGTTGCGTTCAAAGATACAGTTTAAATGGATAAGTTGATTGGAAGATAATTTGAATTACTTGTTATGGAAAGCAAATTTTATTTCATTTCTTTAAACAGCTGCTTGGATTTCGGTAGGAATGTAACATTCTTTTGAGAATGACTTATGATAACCAAGAATGTCTGCATGCCGAGATTTAAATACCTGAATTTTCTGGAGTACGATAATGTTTAACTTATAACTTTATCAGTAATTGGACAAAAATGACAAATTTTTCATTGTTCGGTTAAAGGAGAGTCAAATTATCTTTGCCCAAACTACTCTACCGTGACTCCAAAAAATATTCTAATGCTGTTCAAACTATTTTTCCATATCTTCCGCAGGTTATACGAGAAGAACGAAAGTTATACGTACACATCGCGATTTCGATGCACACACGGTATCTCATTTGAGAATGCAGGATCGATACAGTTACAACACGTAACGCAACAGAGGAAGATAGAGCTAACACTTTTCGAAGAAAATTTCAAGTACCCGAATAGTAGGTCGTACTATTTTCAATGCTCGTATTCCATATCCAGTTACTCTAAAACGTATATCAGTTATCGCTCCTCCATTCCGAGCACGTTTCCCAACAAAATTCGACCAATTTTCGTCGCTAAAGCATCTTACGATAGTTCGATCATGGATTGACGACTACGACACCGACTGCCACCAAGGACCAACGAAAAATCATTGAATTTATCGAGAGATTAGGTCACTTTTAACATCCTTGTCGCAGGACTGCACAATAGAACCTCCGTCCAGAAGTTCATTCTCCATCCACGTCCTCGAGTACAACGAAGGATGGTCATCGTCAGCAACCAACCCCCTTTTCTGCCATCGCCTCGTTCTCACACCGAGTCTAAAGCCCGACCGATAACCAGCAGTAGATAAGATTCTTTCTTTTCACCGAGAAGAAAGGATCTCTCTCTCTCTCTCTCTCTCTCTCTCCTTCTCTCCCCCTCATACTGCCATGATCTATATACTGTATCCAGGAGTAAGTTCATACGTCATCCCGAGATATTCGTTTCCGGAGTTCCTGACTATAGAAGAATGGAAGAAGGAAGAGCAATTAGACGGAAGATATCCGAACGACGGACATTGTCCATGGGTGGCAGAACTGCAGCCGACACACCGAGAGATTCTCTGTGATGGGGGTTGCCACCGGTGGTGGGCTTCGGAAGAAAAAAGAACGACGCTGAATAGCGTAGAATGTGCGCGAGAAACGTCGGTCAGATCGAACAGAGGAGGAAAAGGAGAGAGGAGGGGAAAAGAAAGAGTTTTTCGTCCCCCTTATTCCGTCTCTTCTTTCCGTAGCCATTGCTCGTTTCGAACCTATCCCATCACGTTCTTGCCAGTTTCTTTCCCGACCTGGCTCACGGGAACCTTACCTATTTTTAAGAGATACCGATAGATATGTACGTATGTACGTCTTCGAGGCTAGAAATGCTTTTCTCCTTGTACGAGTTGCGCGGTAGGTTACCCTCGTTCCTCCGTCGAGCAGCGAAATATCGGAAATAGCGAGTTGCGACGATGGTTAACCGTAAAACAGACGTTCGAACGTATTGCGTGATGATGTGTGCCATTATTGCGGTAAGGTAGCGACACGTGAACTTTCATACACGTGATTGACTGCCGCGAAAGGTACCGCGTGCGTGATGAATAAGCGAGGTACAACAAAGGAAATGGTGGAAGAGGGGAGGGATCGGAGAGATGAGAAATGTGATTAGCGGAAACGAGGAAAGAATGGTGTGATTATGCGTGGCGGAGGTATTAGTTACGAATGCGAAGCGATTTTTTTTAGTTGGTCCAATTATACGATAGCTCTTACTTTTTTTAAACAATGAAGTTTAATTATTGGTACGCCTGTTGTGTGTTTTTTGTAGGCACTTCTTGTGTGTCTGTTTTGTGCATGTACCAAAGTGTGCGATAATAGAGGAGATGAAATTGTGAAGGTTGTAAAAGATAATTTCTCAAAAAAATATTTAATTAATATATGAAATCGAGTTGACCGTATTTGTCCATTTTTATTATGATCGATATATGAAACAAATGATTGTGAATCATTTGGAGGAATGCAAGATAAATTTGAAGGTCTTCAAAATTAAAGCACAATTTCAAGACTTCAGAATTTTGTAATTTGATTTACGCAAAATTGCTCTATTGTTGCTGTAATCAGGCAATTAGAAGCAGTTTAAAAATTTTACGAAGAATTCCTGTATTTCAGACACGTGATATTCGTAACTGGTCTTGAAGGAAGTGAAATCTTTTGCAGTGAAAGGTTTTTCAAATGGCAGAATCATGATTATTCTCCTGCTAACCATGCTACACCGATGTTCGAAAATATCTATCGAATAAGCAAGTGATTTTGGCGGTATTCTGAAATTAGCTGTCAATTCTAAAAGAAAAATGAACATCTGTCGGATGCCGAATGTTCGATAAGGACATTATGATGTTGTCAGTGCCTCCAATAAACTGCACGAAGCATCTTTTCTCTCGCTTTTCGAGTTCAGACTTTCACCAATCGAAACTTGTCAGAGGAAAATCTTCGATACAAATTGCTACTCTTAAAATGTTACCAAAATGACGTTAAATATGGTTAATTAACCGACGCGTTTCTTATGTCATTATTTACAGCAGGATCACGTTAATTACGCGGTATACGGGATCAGCGACGTTTAATTAACCGTAGAACGATATTGTTAGACTTTCCAAGCGTATCGAACGCTATATGCTTGCAAACGACCTAAAATCAGTTCTGAATTATTTTAAATTTCCTCCGACATTTTTCAAAAATTTCTTCGATATATTAAAAAAAAAAAGAAAAGGAAACGGGAAGTTAGAAGTATGCTAGAAAAATCGTGGCTTTCTATGCTTTCGTTTTTTTTTTTTTAGAAAATCTTCTAATCTCATCGAAGAAAAATTAGAATGGAAAATTTTTGTAATTAGGGATAGAATTGCAATTTATTACTCGACGAAAGGACTCCACGAATACAAGACGCAAGCTGTTTCTCAAGCAGAAAAATTTACTATAAATTTTCATGGGTAAAAGCAACGAATAATTTTCGTATTTCTCTCTGTCGGTATATTAGTGAGTGATGCACGTGCTTTGAGGTGATATTTTATTAAAGCGAATAATAAATTCTTCGAGAAATGATGGCGTTTTGTTCATTCCCTTGTGTTTAATTTATAGATTATGAATTTATAGTCGTTGCTTTAAGGTAATAAATATCACGAAATTGCTAATATTTCCACTCAGTTAAAACCACTGATAATTCTACATTGAAAACATTTTACTCTCGACTTATTCAAATACGCGTTTACCCAATGCTTGCAATATTTCTGTATTTTTAAAACAACAGATTTCCCAAAGAATCATTCATCGTTCGTTCCAGATACAATTTTAAAATTGATAAATTATAAAATTAACGAAAATACGTGGAGAATTTTTCTTCTCCATACGAGGCAGCCTAGGGAAATAAAGTTTTTCTATCTGAAAAATAGAATATTCTAAATAAAAGAACTTTTTATATCGAGGACCATTGAAATTTCAATATTCTAACAATAACAACTGCGTCATATTAAATCGATAAAATGCGAGAACCAGAGTAGAAGGGAAATAGATTCTTTTCTTTTTTTCAAATAGAACGTTAACAATAAATGTGATCAATCTAATAAACGACTTTTACGAATTAACTTCTCTTTTATAAGAGTGTATCGCATCGAACGAAACCAAAATGAAATTTACAAATGAAAGCAAAATCTTTACTTTATCTTTTAGAATTTATGGATGTTATGCGGAAATAAGGATAGCCTTATTTCTATCAGGAATGAATTTAGTAGAAAAAAAAAAAAAGGAGAAAACTTATGAAGGTGGAATAAAAATGACGAAAATTTCATCTTTCGTGCAGCAAAGCGATGATTTATCGTCTGAACACCTCCAGTGTTGGGTATAAGTGATTCGGACGGTTGCTCGCTCGAGTTGATTTAAAGAAGTGATGGGGATAACTCTCGCTTAATTGGCGCGACCCACTGGCGCTTAATAAACGTGGATCTACTGTATCTGGCAATTTTATCGTTTCCTCCGTCCTATCGATCATTTTACTTTCGTTATATTCATTTTTAACTTGTATTTTTATCTCGGATACTGTTGCAAAAAATACACAAGATGACCCGTTTAATTAAATTTATAGAAATACCGATACATCGGCTCTGCTGTTCTCCAAGAAGAATAGGAGATAGAAGTAATAAAAAGATCTGAAGGATCTCAAGATCCAAAGTTGAGTCATTCTGCAGAAATGGAATCCACAAGTTACCATCGATGGAAATTATTCGGTAAATATTACTAAACGTATCGAAAATGTATTATTTCCTTTTAATTCAAAAACGGACAAAACTTTCCGGTAGACCTAATACACAGGACGTAACATTGTAATTGAATTATCTCTATCATACTTAACGAACAGCCCCTTCTAAATTATTATCAAAATATAGTTTACCAACAATTTGTACCTCCACTGTCAAATTATAAGATAGCTATCCTTTCTTAAAACTTCTCTCGCAGAAATCTAACTTTAATTATGAAACTTTTTAAGTAAAATCATTTCTCGAAGAAAGCAACTCTTCCACGGATATTTTTCATGTTTCCTCTTCTTAGTCTTCTTTTTTTTTTCCGTGTCTTTATTAGTTCGTAAAATGTCTTTAATATATCTACCAATTAGACTGAAGCCGGGTCTCTAGAAGTTCCTGTCCGTCGGGGGAAAGTCTGGCCGAAGCGTGAAGAATTCATTTTCACAAACTTATCGGTGTATGTTAGAACTTTTTCTATCGATCAGCTTAACTCTCTCTCTCTCTCTCTCATTTTCCTCGTCTTTTCTTCCGCGGCCGATCATCTCTGACTGTGCGGGGCGCACTTTAGTTCGGTCTTCACCTTAGGGACCCTCTCGTTGTACTGACATCTCAGATATATTACACGTGACGCGTATCAATCGCGACATTTCAACAACAGAGAGACACTGTCTTGAGGGATGTCAAGGATCGAGAGAGATCGTCGTGTTGTGTCGGGTGTGGAAATGAATTCTTTCCAACTTTTCGGGTGCGATCGATGTTTTATTTAAGAAGAACGAGAACAGATCTATTGTCGAAATAATTTCTATTATCGTTGATGATTTTTTCTCAGTTTTTTTCAGAATCGGTAAAATCGGAAAGAATTTATTTCTGCACCTAATACATTTACGCGAACAAACTCTTGAAATTAACGAGTTTCCGCAGAAGAGCAAGCTTTGCTTCTGTCACTGTAAGTGTAATACATATAATGACGTACATTTTAAGCATGATTTCCTGCAACCGTAGAAGAAAATACAAGACTCCGTTTTATACACCTAAAGTTTGTCTGGAGGAAACTAAACATGTGTTCTACTGTTAGCAAAAATTTCATCTGTTTTGTTTAATAGTATTTTATGCAATTGTATCTGATTTAGAGTTTTGGTAGGTACAATTGTTGCTACTTGTACGAGTGAAGAAGTAACACACAGAATGACAGCATTTTAAATAAGAAAAATGTATACGGATAATAACTGACACTTTTCACAATTAAAATGGCGAAACTTACAGTATTCATACTCTTTCTATCTTTGGGTAAATATACAAGTCATGAAAATTTGTTGTACACGTATTATTCACAGAAACGCTGTTGTTAACATTTACAAAAGAAATATACATGTAAAAGTAAAAATAACGAGTTAATTAAAAGCCATATATTAGAAAATTTAGTACTTTTTCTCAAGAAATATTCAAATCTTCGCTTTTTGGGGAAGTTTAATTAAAATCATCACTTTTCTGAAAAATCTTTATTCAAATCTTCACTTTTCCTTTTGGAAAAGCTTTAATTTGATTTGACGTACTTAATGAATTTTTTTAATTAATTTTGACCGAAGTTATGTTTTATATTCATACTACAGAAAACGAACACATGAAAGAGAGGCAATAACGTAAGATTTACCTGATGAAAGCATAACCCTTATCCTTGAATACACGAATCTCTTGGATGGATCCAAAAGGCGAGAACGTTTTTTGCATTAGTTCTTCCGTTAGACCATTCGTTAGTCCACCGCAGTATACTGTGCAGTTGGTCGGACTACTTTGATTGTACACTTCATCGAAGGTTAATGGCTTCGCATTCGCTGTAAATGAAAAATAGAGAATGTTAATTAACACCAGATTTCCTTCAATTTTCATGATAACTCCTGTGAAACGAAGCGATTAAAGTAATTACTGCTTTGCATTTTTTTTTTTCCAATTGTATTCACAATTCCAAGATAAATTGCTAGACGTATATGTACATATATTCTTTTCCGAAAATTTTTAATAAATTCTACGATATTTTTATGCGTGACAAAATTACTTTTCGATAAAGATTAATTTGGAGTATAGAAAAAGAATGTACAGGGTTCGATACTAACAAGGATCAATTGGCATGAAAGTGAGCAATTAAGCAAAATTTCAAATGTTCAAACAACAAACTAACCTTTCGTGGATGTAGATACATCGATAAAATCACTGTCAATTTTGTAATCTAAAGTTTCTCGTAAAGTTCACTAGCTTTACGAGTTTACGTGAAAATTATACTTGAGGATAATTAGCTGGAAAGTTTATCAAATACAACTTCGTTCTGTCGAGGAGATTAATTGTAAAATTGCAAATGTAAATTGTACAAAACTACAAAGTCGTAGAAATCATATCACGAGAATCTTCAAGAATTTTTAATACTGTTAAATAATGGGCTACGTAATTAATATCTTCGTCATTTGATGAACTAATCAGAATCGCAGAATTAAAATTAATTCGCACTGTGACAATTAGTAATCTGCATTAAATGTGCGCAAACGAAAAACAATTCTACTTCAATTTATCGAATAATTGTTACAAAGCAGAGAAGTTGGTTAAAATCTGGAGAAAGATTAGCAAGTTTTCTCTTCGTGAATCCTAAAGTTATCTTACAACAAAACCATCATTTCTGCGTTTGCATTTTACCTGATAGTGTTTAATGAAAATTTGATCAGAATTTATCGAAAGTTTAAAAAAATGTATATTATTGTAGTTATGTACAGTGAAACAACTGATAAACGAATTAGATGTGTATTTGAAGTATGGAAAATCTGCTTTCTATCAAGCTTAACATTGACTAAGGTTCTTCGAAAACTCTCACTTTTTACAAGAAGAACCACCAATCCTTTTTTGCGTATCTCAAGTTTTCATTGAAATTCAAGCAATATTGTAGCCAGATCGGTATTTCAACAATTGTATCGGTGCTCTTCCCTCTATGCAATAATCTCTTGTCAATAATTTCTAGCTTAACACTCATAGTAAAACTAGCAATAATCATTTTATGATAATCAAAAGGTTCGTAATATAAATATACTGCAGGCATTAAAAAAATACTATGACTAAGGCACTAAAACGTATGTAGCATGCATATCTGACGGATCAGTTCTTCTTCGTTTGTCTTTATCGTAACAATTAATCCAACGACGATAGTTAAGTAAGCAATTTCTCAGAGATAAGATGGCAAATTTTGACAATTTTTATTATCGTACAATTTATACACGTGCTTTTAGTTCCCTTTTGACATTTTTCTTCTTTGTCAGACAAGCTGATATTCAGTTAGCAGTGCTTGCAAAATCCCAATTCTGTAATAATTATGTCATCTTGTGCAAGATTGAAAAACTTGAAAATTCAATTAATACGTAATAAAACATTATCAGCATGCGATGATTAGTTGAAAATATCGTATGCATAAATAATTAAGCGTATTTATATTCTAGTTTTACTTTTCAGCAGACCATTCCAATTTTTTCTGCGTTTCTCTACTTCTTCGTTCCTTTCCCATTTTTATATCGCTGTCTACTGCAATTGTGCATACTTGCGTATGTAATTAACACGTTTTATCGGTGGGAGATGGAAGAATTGCAGAAAGTTGGTGAAAATTTTAATGGACAAAGTTGAACAATATGTAGATATTGAGAAATGACGAATAACCAACCTTCGCGTAAATATAAGCTCGCAATCACTTAGTTTCTTAGGTAACTTTGCGTCGCAACGCTGACTTGGGAATTACTTTGCAAATATTTAATTGTTATCTTGGTATTTTAGAATCTCATTTACTACCGTTCATAAGTATCAGGACACTCGGTATTGTGTGATTTAAATTACACTTCTTCGCCAAAATTAGTGTCATATTAATAAAAATACACACAATATTGATTTTAGAATTTTAATAATTTTGCAAAGATTTTCGTGTGTCAAGTAATTTTGTATTAAAATTGGAATAACATTGAGGCTGGTTTTACATCGAGTAAACAGATTTTAGTGGAATTCAGTAGACTTCGGTAGATTTCAATAGAATTCAGTAGAATTCAGTAGATTTCAGCAGACATTAGTGGATTTGCGTAGGTTTGAAAACAATTCAATAGATATCAGTAGAATATAATGAATTTTAATAGAATTTAGTAGAGTTTGGTAGAGTTCCGTAGATGTCAGTAGATTATAGCGGATTTCTGCAGGTTTCAAAACATTTCAATAGATTTCAGTAGTATTCAGTACGTTTCAGCGGACTTCGATGGATTTCCGTAGGTTTCAAAACATTCCATTCGATATTAATAAAATACAGTAGATTTTAATAGAATTCAACAGATTTTAGTCCATTTCAGTAGATTTCAATAAATTTTAGTCCATTTTGAATTCCGTACGCTTCACATTCCGCAACTGTCCCAATAGTTACGAACAGTACCTTATACACACGTAATACCACGTTTCCCTATTTAATCCTAGTATGTACTTCTAAATTAACTTCATTTGACACACTACCCTATGATACAAAACCACCACCAATAAGCGATGACGAACTTTTATTTACAGTTTCACTCTCAGTATCTTCGTATACATATCACCTCATCCCACAAGTCCCATCCAAAATCGAAAAATACGCCAACAAAAGCCCCGAAAGAAAATTCCACAGCAACAACATATTACTCTCACAAAGAAAAAAAAAAAGTAGAACGACGAACTTCAGTTACTCCAATCAAATTGAAAGATTTGTCACAAATATCGATCTAAATTCTACAAAATTTGTGGAACGAGAAGGTACTCGCGTTATTTCAACGAAATTGAAAGGTTTATCAGAAATATCGATCGAAATTCTAAAACTCGACACGAACTTACGAGATGACCCAATAGACGCGACTTTCCATTCGAAATTCCTTCATCAACACCGAGTTACATCGTCATGCGTAAGTTTCCTTCGACAAGATACGTTTCTCACGTTGGCGCATTCACTCTACTGTCTTAGTTTCGCCGATACCGGGAAAGGGGGTCAGGTTTGACGCGGAACTCGGTGCAGCAGGCTAGTTGTTCGAGATATCGAACGGCAATGTCAAAGAGGTTGAACCCCGTCAGCTCAGTTTACGATCGCACGGGGGCTTAGCCTATACTAAGGTAGCAGGGCTACGGGTGTAAACGCGACCGGTAAACCACGGCCTGTAATTGCCTCGTTCGAGGATAGAAGGTTCTCAGGACGTCGGAACGTCCCGTTAAGAACTTACCAGGGGGACGTTCTCTTCGTTTCTGAAAGCTCGGCATTATCTCTTTATAGCCCACTGAACGTTATTCTCAGTATTCTCGGAATGTCGTGCCTCCGCCCCCTCCCTCCTCCCTTGCATTATCGGTTCGCTTTAAAAAATTTTCTTCCCGCTAAAACGCTTACGTAGCTACTATAATATCGATTTTTCACTCGTGTCCATGAAATTATTATTTCCTTTTTACGAGGCTTCAAGCTCCGCCGCTTTCGACGATCGATGCCGACTAAACGGGCGAATGTGAAAGCGTTTCGTGAACGCTGCAAATTAGCTGCTTGTTTCCCTTTTCGTTGTCTCGATCGTTTCGGTCGTTTTTCTAGACCTGTGTCGCACGTGCGTAACTAATCGTCCAATGTGTGTCATTTTTGTTTATTTTCATTACCGAGTGAGTGTGAGTTGCAGCGTTATGAGGGTTTCGAGTGTAAGTTGCGCCCTTATGGAAAAAGTATTTCCACGTTTCGTGAAAAAAATTTGTAACAATACACTCGATTATCAGTGTGTTTCACGAATTCTGATGAAGCGAGCTGCAATGCTTACGAAACGTATAATAATTGGAAATTTATTCTCATACGACTGGGAAATATTTAAAGGAATTAAACTGATCTTATTTGGCGCATCGTGTTCGAGAAAAATGCGAGTGTTCAGGGGTTAAGAGGAAGTTACGCTCATGCGATTTCAAGCCAACGTTTTACGGTTTCCCTTTAAGTGATATTCTTCATGTTTTATGCATATTCAATATTCGAATCGATATTTTAGTCGAAATTGTTCCAAACGATTTGTTATTACTTTTATATGGTAGTTTTATAGAAAATGAATATTAATATTACGTTTGAATAACTAAAGGAGGTTGTCAACAAACGAGATTTATTCACGAGATTTGTGTTTCGTTCAATTACAGGATGTTGCAGTGAAATTAATATATTTCCTAGTACAATAAAGTAGAAAGGTTTCTTTTCTCGTACCAGGTTTATTTAACATAAATTCTTACGTATTTACTGTGTAACGTATTACACTTTTATTTCTCAGATTGTGTTATCAGAAGTATGAGAAGTTATATCTGTACTATGGTGCAAATTATTTTTTATTGGGAAAGTTTCACGTGTCACGCACAATCTGTTAATCAGATAATATATTTTAACAAGATGTAAATACGTTTTCTTATCGCGAAGAAACAGCTGTATCAGAATAAATTATGTATCGTAATTTGTATATTCACCCTAAACGCGTAAGCTAGTTTATTATAAATTTATGGATTGGAATATATAATCTTAAACACTTCCATAAATTCTTGTAACAATGTTTATACAAATTACAAACCTATAAACCTTTTCCAGACAACTGCGATTATTATTGCACACAACTTTCCTTTTCTTTTTAAATAAATTCTCCTTTACACCTACTGCAAATCTTCTCGTTTCCAAGATATCTCAAACATTCTGATAAAATTGAAATACGAATGAATTTTTAATAAATTCCACGATTTCAGTTTCAAATATTGCAATTTTTACTAGATTTTAATTAATCTCCAGTCGTGATTAATTCAAATTTAA